AGCAGGGTTGGTATCAGACAGAAAATAGAAGAAAAACAAGACTTCATTGCGGAGGGCGTGTGTAATTATTTATTTAATTTACTTATCAAATTATTTAGAGAGAGGGCAGATGGACTGTGTAATCACTGAAGTCATCTTCCTCTGGTTGTCTTGCTGTCTTCCCTTTATGGCTTTCTGTCCTTTAATCTCTTTGCCGAGTGTAAGCCAAGGTGAGGATAGTTTCTTCTTCTGTTTGTACATGGTCAAACAGAAAGCGTACTTTAAAAAAAAAAAGTAGACCAAAGATAGTTCTCTATTCTTTCTTAAAATAGCTGTTTTTTTACCACTCCTCTTTAAGCACTTTAACAGAAAAACAGTGGTCTGCGGAGCAATAGACAAATCATTTGCTGATCTGAACCACACAGAGACACACACACAGTGTTGTGATTTAGCCATGACTGCTACTGAAACTCGGTCCATATTGTTCAAATACACAGCCCAGTGTGCACGGTTTTATCAGTTTCTCCTCCCCAACATGTTTTCACTCCTACCTAGAGATTATCAGGTTGAACACACTGAGTTTGGTAATAATGGGATTAAAGACCAGTGGCAATGTTTGTTTGATCCAGACTGAAGTATCTCAACAGCTGTTGGTTGGAGTGCCATGAAATTTGGTGCAAGGTTTTCTGCTCAGGGTGAATTATAATCGCTTCCCTTTACTTTATCTGCCAAAGTCGTAATTATTCCTGGGCTTTGATTTATGTACATATACCTGCAGAATGTCAGATGTGTACATTAGTGCTAATTTGCAATTGTTAGCATGATAATGCTAAACTAAGATGGTGACCATAAAGTTGAATCAACACTTCTCTAAAATGGCTTCAACAAAAACTGAACATCTTCACCTTCATGAAGAGAGGATTTAATGCAGGACAGTTTCTATATATTATACTGCATTGGTTTTAGCTAGGTGTACCTAATAAACTGCCCGCTGAATACACTTTCTGAACAGCAGTGTTAGCATAATCAGTTTGAGCATGCTGCCATGGCATTAGCATTCATTTGAAGGCGCTGTGCGCTGTGCTGTGCCTGGGCACGGCCTCACTGCGCCACGAGACGCTTTTTATTAATGGCTTTTGTGCTTCATTTTAAATGCATGACTATGTGTATCACTGTGCCTGGACCCAAGCACTGATCTAATTTTTGCTGTAATTGTGCATATGGGACTCTTTAAATGTACTAACTTATTAGTGTGCTCCTCCTATCCTAATAGAAAGAAGACAGAAATGCATTTCATTTTGGAACGTAGGCTGTAAAGAGTCAATATTGCATGTTGTGTAGTGAATGGGTTAGTGTGCAGATCCCAAGCTCAGGTCTGCAGAGTTCTATCACAAAGTGTCATACTATATGATACAGTATAACCGTAATACAAAATAGAACCTTAAGGTTTACACAGGTAATGTTGTTTGGTCTACAGTAGAAGAAATCGGTGTACTTCACACCACAAACAGTTGCTTACTGCACTTATAAATATTACCGACAGTTGCAAAATGTAACTACCCACCTTCTATCTTAGAACTAATTAGCAGCCCTCTAACTGGCCCAGTCGCATCTTGATGCTCTGCTAGGCCCTTATTAGTACATGTCAAGTCAGTTTGTCAGTTATGCATAAACAGACAGTCTAGGCATATAGGAATTCTTGTGTGAGACCTACAGTATGAAGTGGGCTGTGCTGGAGATGTGGTGGACTACCAGTCTGCTTCCTTTGTGAAAATTAAAAGCTAGTGTTGTATTTTTAGCTTAGAAAACAAAGGCCTCTGTGTCTGTTGAGTAAATTACAGCAAATGAATGTTCTTTGTGAATAAAATTGCCCACTCTTCTGACAGTCACGTCTGCTGTGATTAATGCTTGCTGGTAGGTGATGTCAATGTGTTTGATACCTTAATGCGTCATATTCTAAATCTATAAAGATGCTTTGAAGCTAGACTGAACTGTTCCTGATTTTCATTAAATTGTTGACAGCACCTTGCATCTGCCAAATGATTGGTCATCTTACAGAGTGAGGTGTGGTGTTTGCTAGTCAACTAGTTTATCATTTTTTGAGATAAAGACCTTTGTGTGTGTGTGTGTGCATGTACTTTCTTTGCAGACTTATCATCAAGGCTGCCCTATGAACCAGAAGAAAATGCACTTCTGACTTGTGCCGTATTCACATGTAGGTCAAAACAGCCTCTAAAATGATGTGGTTTGGTGCAGGTGAACAAAAGCAAACTGGTGAAAACAGCTTAAGAAACTTTGTTGTTGTTACACTGCTGTGTGGGTCTGTTTGTATGAACATACTGTTTGTGTAGGAGGGAAGAATTTGGGAGTTGTGGGAAAAAGATACTGTCACTTCTGAACTGACTGACAGAGGAGAAATAGCTTGGGAAAGGATGTGAGGCAGCTCACTTCCCCTCCCCCCCCCTCTCCTTCAGGCATGTAGGGTGAGCTCCTGTAAATGTTATCTCTTGCTCTCTTTCTGCCTCATCCTCGCTCTCTCTTTGAGTTGATCTATTCAGTCTGTTCCTCATGGGTAAACTGTAGAATTCAGTGAGCACTGGAGTGAAATAAATTCTCCTTTTCTTTGTGTGTGTAGCTATGCATCAGGCCCTGGACACTCTGAGTGACAGCACAAGTTCCACAACGGCCAATGACCTGGACCTCATCTTCCTCAAAGGCATCATGGAGAGCCCAGTGGTGAGAACAATCTTATGCTGCACACTAATAACTGTGTGATGAAATACAGTATGTGCATGTGTGTTACATTCAGAATGAATGAATAAGAAACCACTGCAAAGTTAAGGATATTTTATGCATGCAAATGCGTTTTGTTAAGTGTCATGGTATTACTGAACTTGCACATGTGCCTTAACATTAAAATGTGATTTCAGTATCATTTGCCATTTCTGCATTAACACTTGATGCAGAACAAATTGTAGTGTGTTATCAGAGATTTGCATGTGTTATGAGATGCTTTATTCAAATGGAAGCTTCAAATTCAAACCTTCTTATTACATTTAAAATTTAAATTTCAGCTAAATTTATGAAGTGCAATTATAATACCATCTTAATGGTTTTCCTTCATTGTTTTCTAATAAGTTGAAAATGCAAATTAAAGAAGCCTTTGGTGTTGTATTTTCATCCAGTCATGCTGTACAGGGAGTATAAATCTGATGTATTTATACTCCCTGCACAGTTCCACAATGGTCACTGACCTGGACCTCATCTTCCTCAAAGGCATCATGGAGAGCCCAGTGGTGAGTTGTTCTCACCACTGGGCTCTCTGAATGCTGTCACTCAGAGTGTCCAGGGCCTGAAGCAAAAAGCATCTCCCTTCTTTGCTGATAATTTTATAACTTCTCACTGATTTTATGTGTTTAAAACAGCATGTTGGTATCATAGCTAACATGAAGATTTAAACTTTGGAGTTCAGTCTAAGGACCAAGAAGGATAAATGGCAGCCATTAAATAATGCTCATCTCTTTTTTAGTTTTAGCTTTGGACAAGGTAGATGAGAGTGGACATATTTTTAATAAGAGGTGCAGCAGAGAGAGCTGCAGGTTTTCTGTGATGGGACAGGTCAGATGGGTTGCATCAAAATCTATCCATTTACTGAACTAAATAATGAATATGCTCCTGTATTACTGGTTACTGAAAACACTGAAGGTTTTCATTTTGATAGAAAAATCTACTGAAATGTATGTTTTGTCATGTGTTTTCTATTTTACAATATGAAATGGAACAGCAAGCATCTCTATTCATGGTGGGACTGCTAACATTTTCACTGTTTCCTATCTGTCAGTCATTTTAGCAAGGCAATACAACATTTCTGTTGCCAATCAGAGCAAAGAATTGAGATAGCAGGCAGCAGTGCAGTGCTGGTTGACAAGTGCAGAGGGAGCAGCAACTTCTGTGATCAAAGGAAAATACAGAAATGTGTAGCAGTCATTAGATTGTATTTATTCCAGAAACCTGCTTTAATGCTTTTAGTTAAAGAACTGAAAAGAACTTGACACTTTGTCACCGGACCCTCAAATCCACTCTGTATCTGTGAGAATGAACAAGATGAAATCTTCAATCTGTTGCCCAGATTTTGGATTAAAGCAGAGTGGAAGCATATGAATACATTTGTCCAAGAAAACTCAAAAATGGATGCATCCTTTCTTGTCTTAAGTGGCTTCAAAAACATGAACCAAATCCACTTTTATAGAGCTCTGTGACAGTGAACTGCTTGTTTCTGGCACCTTCTCTGTAAAGCTTGGGTCTGGAATTCCACTTCCACTTTTCTGATGCAGAGTAGTTTGTGTATCAGATTGCCTTGCTGAATAACCTTAACCTTCAGCACTCAGATGGTGTATGCTGTTTTCTTATACTGAAAATTTAATGAGACTCAGTTTCCCCAAACCACCACAAAAGTTCACTTTATGCATAGAAGCTGACGTTTAAATAAACTTCCTCACTTCTCCTCATGTAAAGTCTCGTTTATGAAACCAATCCCAGCTAGTGAGTGATGTTGCTGTTATGGAGTGTCGTTTTTTGAAGTGAAGGGCCTTAGCAGAGGCAGTAAGTCAGTGTTTCATTCCACTACTTCTCAAGTTCTTTCTCCTCTGAAGTCTTCCTCCCTCCACTGTTTTCTAAAAGCACTGTTTCATGTGCCCTTTAAAACTGTGCACGTTTTAAAGCAACAAGAAGTGAAAGCAAAAACTGGATGTCCTGCATAAGTGCGCAAGGAAAAACATACAGATGCAGGTCACATTATACACTGAAAGTCCATCTATAGCTTTCTTTTGCTTTGACAGCAGCATATCTTTCTAGCATTGCCAACGTTAGCCGCGTTGCACTGAGGTGGAAGCACAGCAGCATATCTTTCTAGCATTGCCAGCGTTAGCCGTGTTGTTTTGTCCAGGGAGATGCGTTGGTCTGCAGGCAACTTGTCGGGCTCGAGTAGTGCTGGAAGTAAAAAGCTGTGCAGGATTTTTGAGTAATTCAGAGGCAGCCCTGTTAAGGAAATTTGGAGACTGACTATCCACAGGGAGCAGTAGTCCTATATCAAAAACCTCCCATGTGACTGAAAACAGTATCTCCCCTGCTGCTTCAGACCCTTATTTCATTTAGCCTTTTATCGCTCTATTTGTTTTTGGTTTCTTTTTCACACAAGATTGATTTTTCCCTCTACTCAAACCAGCATATGTATGTGTGGGTGTGTAAGAGCATGACATCGGTGTCTGTGCTTTATGTCTGAGGGAGCTCTTGGTGGTACCGGTGTATTGATGAGCATTCTCATAAAAGATGAATGTGCTGATGCAAGCTAAAGACGCCTTGCTGAAGGATGTGGAAAAGATTTCCAAGTTTCTCCTGACTTCACGGCGGATCTATAAACACTTTATCAAGCTATCATTTAATGTACATACAGTAGAGAGGAAAGACCATGGAAACAGAGGGACAGAGGGGACGTGCATGTGTGCACATGACATGGTGGCTTCACTGAATTGTGCTGATTGCACCACAGTCACTAGAGAATGATGATCAGTTCAGCCTGCAATTCTATAATGAATGATGATTAGGCCCATAGATACTGACAACAGAAGCTATCATCATGCAAAAGACCTTCCGCAGTGCTCGATTATTCACTTATGACTGTGGCTCAGGCTTGATGCTGGGCTCTTTATCTAACTGAGCAGTCGAGACTGTTGAGGCATTTAGAACAGCTAAATGAGCTGACACTTGCTTTTAGGCGTTTACCCTATGCTTTTTAACCTCCAACTTCCAAGCCATTGCATTTCCCTGGTCAGACTACAAATGAGACTCCAACTTTGTTAAAGTGGTGCCATGTGGACTCCAAAACGGTGACTTCTGGTATTATACAGTACAGCTTGTGCAAAACAATGTAGTTGTTTTGTGCTGAGTGGTCAAATCCTGGCGATTATTATCCCATTTCCTGACAGCTATTGACATTTAGCTGAAGGTGCAGGAACAAAAATGATGCATAAAATCTTGTTCACATTCTGCAACACAACTAATCTAATGTAGCTATCAGAGCTTACATGGAGCTCGATTTAAAAGAAAATCCTGTTGTCTTTGGCATGAACATACTGTATGTTTATAAAGGAACTGTTGCATATGTGCAGATCAAGTGGCACCTAAACCAGATCAATCAGAGATGCCACAAAATAATGCTGAGCAGATGAGTCAAAGCCAAGCAGATGAGTCAAAGCTGAGCAACTGTACAACTCTTGAAGCGGCATTAAAGAGAGATTATAGGATCATGGTAGAAGCTAGGTGTACTTAGTATTGAAGAGTCAAAAAGCTAGGGACCTGTGCTGTCAGTTATTAACATTAGCCACAATAATCTACTGGTCAAACCAGATCAAATAAGGATGTAGCTTCAAAGCCCCCGAGTGTATTGACTTGAGCGAAGGTGTGTTTTATTGCTTATGGATTAAAGTTTTTGTATCTAAGGTAGAGAGTGTATTTTTTATTTCAAAGTTATAGAGTCTCTCTTTAAGTTGTCTATGAATTGTAGGAGTCACTTTTGATGGCCAGTTGGAACAACACTTATCAAATACAAGCCACTGAGTTATGGTAACTGTTAACTACAAGACATTATGTCACATTTTCACAATGGAGAAGAGAAGGTTTACTTACTAAACTAGACAAATCCATCAGAAATTTCTCAAAGAAGAGCAAAATACAATTATGACACTGTTTTGTCATCTGCTTTTGCCTTGAGAACAGCACTGCTCATTAGCTTTTATAGCTGAAATATCTGGTGGAGAGGAGGAAGATTAATAGTGTCTTGTAATTACAATGGATAGGGAATGTTGAAAGCCAACAAATGTCAGTACTTGGCAGAGTAATTGTTGAATAATAGGCACCAGTGATAGACTGTAAATCAACAACCTGAAACTGTTTGCAGACAGTGCACTTGCATGATGTTTATCTAAGTCATTATGACATAAATAGTCATTTTATTTATTTAAAGTAGAGTCAGATCCATGGCTTTTAAAGCAGTGTAATCATATAGCAACGTGTCCATGCTGGCATTTTGTCCAAGGGCCAGACACCAACAGCTTGCTCCATCAGGATATATAGAATTTGCCAAAACACCAAATGAATGAAGTCCAGCTGCTGTATCATTGAGCAGGCCCGATGAGCTCCATGTGTATTTAGGGTGTTTTCACAATTGGCCCCTTCCAGCCCTCAAAATGAACCTGGAGCGATTAGTCAGCATTTTCTGCTTAAATGTGAATATTCCAAATGAACTCAGACGCCTCTGAAACGAACCGAACTGAGACCTCCCAGGGAGGTGGTCTCAGCTCAGTTCATTCCAAGTCTGTGATGCGGCTCGCCAAATCTGTGCACTGTGAACACGGGGGCTCCAGGTTCACTTCTAGTCTTTTACACGTAAGAGCGGAAACATCAGCAGTCTGTTAACGCTCTTTTTATTCTTTTTTTTTTAACTAAAAATGTAACAGAAACAACTGATAGGAGTAAAGTACCAGATTAATGAGCAGTATCGGTAGTAAATGTGAACGGTCTGAGCTCCAGAGTCACTATAGTATGAACAGAAAGAGGACTGAGGCCTCATCAGATCTGAAGTGGACCAGAAAGGGAACCAAATCTTTCAAATGTACTCACAGTGTGAACACAATAAGAACCGAGTCCTTTTTTGTTGGTCCACTTTAAAGAGGACTGAGTTCGGTTCATTTGAAAGTGACCAAATGTGAGAACACCCTTAATCTCCATGCAAATATCTTTGACTTTGCAGGCATGCGTGTCATGCTTGTGTTTCTGTGTATGCAGTAAGGGTGTACTAAAGTAGGATGCATATTGTGTGTGTGTGTGTGTGTGTGTGCTTGCTGCAGCCATTGTGTGTGTGTGTGTGTGTTGTGTTTGTGTGTGTGTGTGTGTGTGTGTGCACACTATGTCCTGTCTCTCCACAGGAGGTCTTCCTCTCTTCCTCAACAAACAGAGTGGCTGCCACAGCAGTACTCAGTCTCACCAGTTAAATCCTCTGGGGGATTTCCTGACGATGTGAATCCTGAAATACAAGATCATTTGGTGTGCAGTCACAAACTGTGCTACTGTAAATGCACAGTTGGGGGGGAAACGATGTTAAATTCTGTAGGCTTTGATAGGTTTGTGCAATGCAGTTTTTGTCTTATTACAATATAGAACTTTAGATATTTATTTGCAAAATACTATGTTTTGTCTCAGAAATATCACAAACCAGAATCTGGGTCCATGATCCAAATGAGTTGTTCATTTTGAATCTGTGAGCCTGGATCAGAGGTGTGGAGGCAGTGTCCAATAAGCAAAGACCCCTGTGGCCTTGGCTGCAGAGGAAGAGGAAGTGAAAAATTAATGTCCCTCTGGACCTCTGAAATTTCTATACCGTGAAGAGAATGCTACCCAGTCACTTCATTCTCATACTTAGGGAGAAGAGAAGTAATATCTGTTTTATATTCTCTAATCCTCAGGCCCATGAGCGTTATGAGGAGCCCAAGCTCGAGGCTGTGAGGGAGAACAACGTGGAGCTGGTCCAGGACATTCTCAAGGAGCTCAGCCCGCTCACACACAGGAGTCAGCTGGCCGACGAGCTGGTCCGCATCCTGAAGGAGCCCCACTTCCAGGTATGGAAACCAGCGCTTACATCTCACAGCAAGCTTTAGTTTGAATTAGGCACTTAGATTACTTTCAAAGTGATGTTTATGCTTAATGATGAATGCTGTGCCTGCATGGATTAAAATTATTTGGAGCTACGGGAGTGTGTGTTTTTCAGTCCATACGGTGTCTGACAATGGTTCTGCAGAGAGCGAGATCACCTGATTTGTACACTGTATAGCATGTTACCATCTTTGTCATCATCATCGATGTCTGCCATTCTGCTCCCAGTCCCTCTTGGAGACCCACGATTCTGTGGCATCCAAAAACTATGAGACTCCTCCTCCCAGTCCCTGTTCCTTCATGGATGCAGCCCTCAACAACCAACCCGTGCCCCCAGACGCAGTCAGGATGGTGGGCATCCGCAAGGTGTCTGGTGAGCATCTGGTAAGTCCTGCTGCGTTAAGGAACTGCACATTGTAATTATTTAAAAACATCTAGGATAAAGCCCTCCTCTGTAAATTTCAAATGGATAAAACTCCTCAATAAATAATATAATATAATTTGCATGTGTGGACCAATACATAGCGAGATATTCTTGTAGCATTAATTAAAGGGTAAGGCTAGTCATTTCTTATATTAATAGTGTTTTCAACACTTCCCATACAGAGACTAAATCCAACAATAAATTGCTTCTGCTCACAGTTCATGTCTCAGTCTCCAACCTGGCCAGCCTGGTCTGTACCACAGACCTCCATTGTTGTTCAAAAATGATTAAAAACACATCACTGAAGCTCGCTGCTGCATGTTTCTTCATTACTCATTGCAGAATAGGGGAACTTGTGTATTTACTAAAGGAGGGACCAAGAAGAAGTGGGATAGAAATCTAAATGATCTAGCTTGGCTATGTGAGGAGTGCCAGCACCAGATACATCATGCAGAAGATATGGGGCAGAAAGGGAAGTGATAGTGCAGGAGTTGAAAAAGTTTGGTTTTGAGGAAATAACAGTTAAGTCTTAATTAAAATTATACTGTGCTTGTTCTGAGGAGTGTAAATTTGTGTGTGTGAAAAAGATTGCATGTTAATTGGCGCTGTTTAGTAGGGATGGGCATTGCAAGCTAAAATGACCAAGGGAAAACAGTGGCTCTGTGTTTTTAAAGACAAAGCCATAGTTGCATGAAATATTCGATTTAAAAAAAAAAAGACCGACTATTCTAATATTCAAAAATCATTGCCCATCCCTACTGGTTAGCCCACATATGATTGTTATATTTCAACTGTACGTAGGGAGTGACGTTTCGTGTGGAGAGCGGCGAGCTGGTGATTGCCAGGATCCTCCATGGTGGCATGATTGACCAGCAAGGTCTGCTCCATGTGGGTGACATCATCAAGGAGGTGAACGGCAAGGAGGTGGGCAATGACCCCAAAGTGCTCCAGGAAATGCTGAAGGAGGCCAGTGGCAGTGTGGTGCTGAAGATCCTGCCCAGCTACCAGGAGCCTCACACACCAAGACAGGTCAGCTGGGTAGATACACAAATCAAACCAAATATTGCTTCACATGTGCATAGTTCTATCTTGAACCAAACGCCCAGTTAATAATAGTAAAAGGCAGAACAGCATTTACAGTATATAGTACTATAATACATTTCATGATACTGCAGCGCTTGTCTGGTTTTTCCCTA